ACTATTCCGACTCGCACTGTTTTCATTCGACCTGAGAAGAGATGCTTTTCCACGCTATCAAATATATAACAAGTAATATCAAGAAAATGACTCTTGTACGGCAATAAGCGATATTAAAGATATTTTTTTTTTTTTAATACTCTCGCATGTGTTTCCTTCATATTAAACATTTGCATATCACACAGTTCTAAATATTTTCTTAATATTTTTTAGATCTTTCTTGGATATCACAATAAGCTATTTCTTTATCTCCGGATATTCATTTTTATTATATTTATCTCTTTCGTTTATCCAAGGATATTTATAAGATATCCGTAGATATTCCTTGGGAATATCCCTTTAGTCTGCGTGTTTTGCGTGGTCGTACGCATTTTCTTTCCCCTAGCGGGGAATATTTTGAAGAAAGGTTTATCCCGCCGAAGAACGACGCTTACAGCTGACGTTCTTCCCGAAGCGCTCTTCCACGCAGAGTTATTGACGTAGCGTGGCATAAAAGCTCCGCTGTACGTTCCCTACGCGCTTTTTTCCCATTAACGTCCCCGGCACGTCGCGACTCGCCACAAAGGTTACTCGTTACTCGGTGAACTGGCATTGTAAAATGTTTTTTCTTTCCCGTCCCCTCCACGCGGGCGGTCGGCTTCTTTGTTTCTCCCAATGGGCCGAGCCCGCATTCGAACCATTTCTCTCCCCCCTTGTTCTATATCTCTCCCTCTCCTTCACGTTGAAAAAGCACGGCTATTAGTCGTACTTGCGCGTGGTTGAGGAACTATCGACCGCGCGTGCAATTAGCATCCGTCATTATGAAGAAACGAGCGGCAGTCGAGTTGTGTCCCGAAGTACTGCGGACGGAAGGTAATAGGAATGTTTGCGCAGAACGCGGCGTGTTTGCCTCCTCTCATTAATCCCTTCAATTGTCGCATTTCAATTGACCGAAAGAAAATATCAATTTGCCGAACAATTTTCTATACGCGACACGCGCTAGAAATTTATTTAACGGAATTTTTCGCGTAGACCGATTTTCGAACTGTCACAATCATCGACACACGGATTATCGATAGAAAGTGACTTTCACATTTGTGCGGGAAAAATACCTGTCGTCCCGTAAATTGTATGGCTTTTCTCTACGTTTAATTTTTTATTTGTCGAATAAATTATATTAATTGCTGCCTTGTTTTACTCGAAACTATTCCCTTTTGATATTGGACGTTTCGCTGAAGTGCGATTCGACGGGGACATGAGAAAGCACAGAGCCAATCATTCATTCTATCTTTAACCGTTTATTGATTTTGATTCCGAGAAGCAGCCAACGCGAGAAGGAAACGCCAATCCATTATGCATCTGCTATCCAGCCATTTTCAAGCAAAAATATAAGTATGAAATACGTTTCACGTACTCTTGCAGTGTCCACGATAAAACACGTGAGATACGTTACGCAATATATTTATTTATATAATGTGCATATAATATACAACGTGTAACTTTTTTGCGCTACTTCTTATTTGATCATATTTATTACGCCGTACACGGAGGTGAGATTTTGCGCGGATTTAATTCGTATAATTTCGAGAAGTGGGCAATCGTCCGGGAAAACTTTGTCGCGATTATGCATAATACGCTTGTTTCTACGTTTCTACGTCGAGCGTTCAAATTTTCCACGGTGTTCTCATGGATTCAGCGCACGAGACGTGATACGAATGTGAACGGCCAACGAGAAAGTGGCGCGAAGAATTTGCGAACGACTTTTCGCGAGAGCGTCTCTCGTTTGGATGGCTGTCGAGTCGAGAACTGCTATCGCCATTCGCGATATCCCGAGATACGGATCTTCCGTCACGTCAGAAAAATGCTTGGAAGTTGCGCGATGTCAAGAGTCGTGGCTATTCCGTTTTTACGGAATATACTGGAATATACTGGCTACCTGATTAAAAAATGCAATGCTTGTTCATGTATCATGATATAGTTACTCCTGTCAATAATATTGAAAGCTAAAGAATTTTACTGAATGAATATATGTATGTAGCTTCAAGAATATAAATATGTATGTACATATGTATATATGTAAGTACGTATGTACACACACACACACACACACACAC